ACGCACGCACACGCACCTGGCATGAATTTTAAGCCACCGGGTCCGGGACGAGAACCGTGGTCGACTACGTGGGAGTCCAGCGACATAGCCATTACGCTAACTGCTGGTTCCTTTCACATGAAAATTTTGAGCTTATTAATCCTCTCAAGAAAAATCCACACAATCACCATAATAGTCATTGCGGAATCTTTACTCCTTTGACTTCTTGCCAGCACCAGCACTGGCCTTTGTAGTCCCCGGACTTTCTTCATTCTGTTCTTGCGTTCCATTCACTATTTTCTAGACAGCTTTTTCTTCTCATAAAGGCAATGTCTTGGAAGTGTATGTTCGGGTTCATTTTTCTTTACATAATCCAAAGAATCATAAATCATGCCAAAGCCAGTTGTTTTGCCACCCCCAAAATGGGTTCTGAACCCAACCACAAAGATGACATCTGGTGTGGTCTTCTACACCTTTGCTAGTTTTTCTCGAGTTTTGTCTTAGGCACTGTTGCCTTCCCAGGGTGAAGGACATCAATGACCATTTGTTTCCTCTGAAGTAGTCAGTTGGTCATGAATGTCCTGGTTCGGATAGTTACTGTGTCATCCATGATGGTGGTCTCTCCTCAGGCAGTCAGGGAGGAAAAGAGAAGGACTTCTAATATATCCAGTTCTATCCACAGCATAGGTCTCATTATGGCTGTTACCGTAGTGAGGTTGAGGGATGTGGGACCTGAGGAATACAGTTTTAAGAGTGGGCGTGGCTAGACACATTCACTCATTATCATTTAGTACCTATTACGGGCCAGAGCATGTGCTAAGACACTGGCTGGGTCACTCTGTGTCTTTACACTGAAGCTCCCAGTCCACCTAGGGAAATGGATAACTAGTGGAGTAAGCGTCTGTGACGGCTTTCACACACACCAACGATTCGCCAGCTACCCAGATAAACTATTGGCTAGTTATTCTACGCTTTACTCCAAAATCTGGAGAAAAGGCCCCCAAAGTTAACATCTTCTGTAGAATCACACTGTACACCAATGTGAGGTTTACAGTAACAGCTCACTTTCTGTGACTGAGAATGCTGAAAGAGGTGAGTTGGGGAAAAAATGGAGTATGTAACTATGCTCTTGGAAAACGCGTGTGGGATTTGTCCAGGTTCTAGACTGGGACCCAAGGCTCCTGAGCCAGAGAGGGCTGAGGTCATGACTAAGTATACAATTTAGTTGGAATCTTCTCCACATCTTAATCCTACAAACAGATGCCTGGCAAAATCTACAGGTCTTTAAATGGGGTACAAGCTTTCTCTAAAACGAATCAGGGAGGCACCTTTTTTTGGGGGGGTTTGCTATAGGGCGCATGCGCTGGCCAGAAAGACAGAGAAAGAGAGACAGAAAGCGAGAAATCATCCCCCCTGGGGATGGTTACACTGCAATCCCTTCCCCATTCTCCTCTTGGGATCTTGGGCACCCACACATATGTGCCTGGTGTGAGTTTAAGCCACCGGGTCCAGGACTCGAACTCTGGTTAACTACATGGGAGTCCAGTGACATGGCCATTACTCCAACTGCTGGTCCCAGGGAGGCATTTCAATAGGACCTTGTTACTGAATCTTAATTAAACTTCAAGGAGATTTGCATGTTATTCAACGTTATCATACATTATTTCACTGTAACTGTTTTATTGAAAACAAGAGTTGCAATACCTGCAACATCTTGCTTAAGAAAGGTGATTATAAATATATTAATGTTCCCTGTGCCCATGACACAATGAAAGGCCAGATAGAGTGTGTCCAGAAATCCCCCTGAACTCGGCACAAGGATGGAAAGGGAGGTGGGGGTTTGGAGGGCAATGGAGGACATCTTCCTTCTGCCAAAGCAAGAAGGAATTCTTGCCAAGAAAGCATACAAAGTCCTCTTCCTCAAAGCATGGCCCCTAACCTGTCCCCTCAGAGTTTAACGCGACAGGGAGGACGCGAACTGGGTGCAGAAGCAGGTCCCAAGATGCCAGGCGCCCCTCCTTCCACTCTCAGAGGTGATCTAACGCTGACCCAGTGGCCACCCGGACCTTCGCCTATGCAGGTCGCCACTGCCAGATCCGACGCGGGCTCCCCAACCCGCCCGCAGACCTGAGAGCGCCGACGTCTCCCACCTTCGCCGACGCCCCGCCCCGCCCGTCGCCATGGTGACGGCTGGGACCACGCAGCCCCGCCCCTTCCTCGCGGCGGCGC